CGAAAGAAAGAAAAAAAATCTTCACAAGAACTCTGTGAGATAGTTAATATTATTAGCCTTATCTTACAAACAAAGAACTAAGATACTGAGAAATGTGATGATTTGCTGGCAGAGTGGATTGATACCTAGGCAATCTGGCTCCACAGCCAGTGCTTTTAACCACTACGGTGGATTGACTCTATAATGTTGAGTTTCCTTATATAGTTAGTTAATTCTCATTTGTAGCTTGAAACTCATCTTTACCTTAGCCTGTTATTAGATCTAAAAGAATTTCTAATACATGTCTTTATTTTATTATTTTCCTTAACTCATGTTTGGGAATTACAGTGCTTTCTTGGTATTTCTCCCTGCTACTTCTACACTCCTTGGTGGGAGATTGGGTCCAGGATCCCCATGGATACCAAAATCTACAGATGCTGAAGTCCCTTATATAAAATAGCATAATATTTGCATGTAACCTATATAATCCTTCTGTATACTTCCAAGTCATCTCTAGGTTTTTTGTAATACCTAATACCTGAAAATACTATGTAAATAATTGTCATACTGCATTGTTTATTTGTTTTATTTTTAGTTTTGTATTGTTAGTTTTAATTTTAATTTTTTTGAATGTTTTCATCTGCAGTTGGTTGATTCTTGGATTTGGAACCCACAGATATGGAGGGCTGGCTGTATTTCTTTTTTTGTGATTAAAAAAGTTATAGCCATTATTAATGCTTTCTTTGATTTGTGTCATATTTCTAGTAAGACTATTTTTAAGACATTTTTCTTTGCAACAAAATGACACAAAGTAGTATTTGCAGAGGCCAGCATTAATGGATTTTGTTGTAATTTTGTGTGGCACATAATTATGATTTTAAAAATCTGCAATATGGGTTTAGCTAAATCTGTCCTGCTTGTTATTTTTGGATGGTTCAGGAGCTACTTTACATATTTAAATAGTTAAAAATAATCAAGAGAATAATGTTTTCTGACTGTTTGTCTAGAAATATAAAGTTTCATGAAAGTATAGCTACACTTACCATTTACATGTTGTCTGTGACTACTTTTGTGCTGTAACAGCCGAGTTAAATAGCTATAGACCATAAGCCCTGCAGTAGTTAAAATATTTACTGTCTGGTTCTTTACTGAAAAAATTGCCTACCCCTGTTTTAAATGATTTATTTATGTATTGCAGTTAATTCTTCATTGTCTTCTTTTCCTTTACTAGAATACAAACTCCATAAAGGCAGAGGTCTTTGTTTTGTTCACTCATGTATCCCAAATACCAGGAACAGTGCCTGGCTGCTCAGTAAATAATTGTAATAAAATGTATGAGTTTATAAAAATGAATGTTTAATTTTCAAAATGATGATAGGTGACATTTATTCATAGGTAAACATTTATCAACAGCTGTGGGAAGTGCATATATTTTATTATTCCCATTTAACACCAAGAAGAAACTAAGACATTGAGAAAGAGATACAGTTACAGTTAAATAAATGGTAGAGCTGGGATGTAGAGCTGGAATCTGACCCTGGAAATCTGACTCTAGAATTGGTTCTCTATAAATGACTCTTAATGCCTGATCTATACTGCCTTTTTTTTTTTTTTGAGTTGGAGTCTCATTCTGTCACCCAGACTGGAGTGTAGTGACACGCTCCCAGCCACTGCAGCCTCGACCTGCTGGGCTCTGGCGATCCTTCTGCCTCAGCCTTCCAAGTAGCTGGAACTACAGGCATGTGCTACTATGCCCAGCTAATTTTTGATTTATTGTAGAGATGAGGTCTCGCCAAGTTGCCCAGGCGGGTCTCGAACCCACGGGCTCAGGCAATCCATTCACCTCAGCCTCCCAAAGCGGGGATTGCAGGCTGAGCCACCGAGCCCGGCTCATACTGCCTTTTATAGATAATATTTAGTTAATTTTGTTATGTATGGTAGAATAGTTTTTGTATTAGGAGTTTGTATGTCACCTGTTTTGATGCTCTGTCATGAGACTACAGTTTCTGCTGAGAACAGGCAATAAAGACAGCTTAGACTGCTCCATTCCAGGAACACTAGATCATACAGACAGAGGGTACCAAAAATATGTATACACATTTTAAGAAAGGAAAAAGCTATTAAAATTGTAACACTCAATATATGTTGGTAACAAAAGATGAATACAAGTCACATTGACTTCTGGAATTACAAGAGGTGCACATTGTTTGGTAGATCTCTGTGGTGAGCGTGTAAACTGTTCTAACACCATAACAGAAGAAGCAGGACTTGTTGCTGTGCAGGGCTGCCCTATCTTTCCTTACACATGTCACACACAGTACCATGCGTCTCAAACATGAATGCGTGCAGTTACTAGGTATATTGGAGGTTCTGCTGCATACTCACACCTCCATTGTTGTTGTCCTTTCATAGCATTCTTGAATTTCAGATACCACTTCAAAATAGTCTTGCACTCCTTGAAAGACAGGGGTGCTTTTGCCGTTTTCTTTGTCCTGTCTGTCCCATGGTGACACTAGCATTCATTTGATTAAAGCCATCTTTTGAGCCAACACCATTGCTATCATAATTCAATTCAACTTCGAAAAGTGATACATAGATAATACCTCTTAAAATGTGTATACATTCTTTTGGTACCCCAGTACTTGAGAAAACAAGTCTAGGAAATATGATATTAGTAGCTTTTCCCTTTGCCTGTCTGTTGTGTCTAACCTAATAAGGTTTTCCTCTTTAAAATGAATTTTGAAACTGAGACTTATATAATAGAAAGTAGATTTAATGTAGGTAATAAAGAGTTTGAATCTTACTTTGAATTTTAACCTGAAACAAGTTTCTTGATAATATATGTATGTTTTAAATATTAGAATTTAATTTATCATTAAGTGTAAAAAATTAAAGTTATATCAGAATAATAATTTTCTCTTGTTGAATACTAGAATTAAAGAAAATCGTGTATATGTTTCTTTATATTTTTATTGATTTGTATCTTTTCTTCAAGTGTGTTTACTTTCTTATGTCCTAATATACTAGATTTTCACATTACACTATGATATTGCCTTTGGCTCAGAGTAGTAGTTTTTTTGTTTGTTTGTTTTGAATATAAGCTGCTAAGTGTTTATCTCAGTTTTCTTTTTTCTCTTTTTTTTTAAAAACCTTCTCTATAATTATCTAATAATATTGCAATAGTGCAATGCTTTATAATTATTTCCTGAACAGATTATTGTCATCTTGACATTGAAGTTTAAACTGTAATAGAATATTTTTGAGCTTTTAAATTATAAAAGTAGTATGATAGCATAAATAACATTTTGAACAAAGAAGCACCACATTATTCTAACAAATTTTTTTTTTTAATTTTTTATTTTAAAGATGTGGGGTACAAGTCAGGGCTACGTATGCAAATGTTCATTATGCAGGTGCCCTTGTTGATGAGGTGTGCCTCCCCCCACCCCCCGAGTTTCCTACTACTGCCAGTCCCTTTCTTATAGTATTATGGTAATTGTTCAAGGTCTGCTTATGAGTGAGAACATGTGGTACTCAGTTCTTTGTTTCTGTGATAGATCACTCAGTATTATAGCCTCTTTTGCTGCAAAGTTTATAATTTTGTCTTTCTTTATGGCTGTGTAATATTCCATCGTGTGTATACCACATTTTTTTATCCAGTCCTCGTTTATTTATTTATTTAAAATATGTGGGGAACAATTCAGGGTTAGGTATACAGATGTTCATTATGCAGGTACTCTTGTCAATGAGGTGTATCCCCCTCTCCTGGCAGTTTCCCACTACTGCCAATCTTTTTTTTAAAGTATTACGATAGTTGTTCAAGGTCCGCTTATGAGTGAGAACATGTGTTACTCGGTTTTTTGTTTCTGTGATAGATCACTCAGTATTTTATAGACTCTTAAGTTCATCCAAGTTGCTGCTAAGCTCATAAATGTGTCCTTTATGGCTGCATAATTCCATCATGTATATTGCCACGTTTTTTGAATCCAGTCCTCTTTTGATGGGCAACACGGTTAGTTTCATGTTTTTGCTATTGTGAGTAATGCTACAATAAACGTGTGTGCAGGTATCTTTTTATTTTATTATATTTTATTTTTGAGTTGGAGTCTCACTCTTTCACCCAGGCTGGAGTACAGTGGCACGCTCATGGCTACTGCAGCCTTGACCTGCTCGGCTTAGGTGATCCTTCCGCTTCAGCCTTGCAGGTAGCTGGAATTACAGGCACGTGCCACTGTCCCCGGCTAATTTTTTGATGTATTACAGACATGAGGTCTCACCAAGTTGCCCAGACTGGTCTCAAACCCCTGGGTTCAGGCAGTCCTCTCACCTCAGCCTCCCAAAGTGCTGGGATTATAGGTGTGAGCCACCGCGTCTGGCTTAGGTATCTTTTTCATAGAGCGATTTTGGTTCCTCTGGGTCTGTTCCCAGCAGCGGAATTGCAGGGTCGTTTAGAAGGTTGATTTTTAGATTTTTTAGGAATTGCCACGCTGTTTTCCTCAGAGGTTGTGTTAGTTTACACTCCCATCAACAATGTAAAAGTGTTACCTTTTCCCTGCATTCTCTTCAGCATCTGTTTTTTGAGTTACTGATGATGGCCATACTGACTGGAGTTAGGTGGTATCTCAGCATGGTTTTAACTTGCATTTCTTCTGATAAAACTATTTTAGTGATTATGTAATATCTCTGTGGTGTACTTGCCTTTATTTAGTATACATATAGAGTAGCAATTTTAGATTTGAAGGAGGCCTTGTCTAATTCCTTTCTCTTAAGGAAACTATATGATTTGTGCATGCATCATTTTTCTGTATCACCTAACCTTTCAGAATGCAAACCAACATCTTCCTGGCCTAGGGTATTTTAAAAATTATATTATTATGAATTTTCTTCATTTGCGCTTTGATGTAACTAAGTGTAAGAGAGGTATCTTGCTATGTGTAAAAGTCAATAGGGTTGTATTTGAATATTTCTTATTGGTGCATATTGCATGTATTTATTATACCTTTCTTTTTAAATTTTTATTCAGCTTTCTAAAACCAATTTTTCCAACAACAACGATTTCCGTGCTCTTCTGCAGTCTTTGTATGCTACTTTCAAGGAGTTCAAAATGCATGAGCAGATTGAAAATGAATACATTATTGGTTTGCTTCAACAACGCAGCCAGACCATTTATAATGTACATTCTGACAATAAACTCTCTGAGATGCTTAGCCTCTTTGAAAAGGGACTGAAGAATGTTAAGGTGAGTTGCAAAAATGGATATTTAATGATCACAACTGGTGCCATCTTTTGGTATGTCATTGGCAAAACTCTATGCATTTTATAGTAAATTATGTAAATTAAAGTAAAAAATTTATTTTGTGACTTGTTAAAGAAGGAAGACTTTTTTCAAGAGGAATGCTTGTAATAGGGACTGCAGTAGGGGCTCAACTCCAAAGACAACAAGGATAAGTGGAAATTATATAAATATATAAATGGTAAATCAAATCAATAGAAGTTTTAAGCAGATACTTGCTATTTTTAGACTTCTTTTGACTTTTTAAAATTATTTTTTAGTTAGAGTCTTACTCTGTCACCCAGACTGAAGTGCAGTGGCACAATCACAGTTCACCAGAGCCTCCTCCTACTGGGCTTAAGTGATTTTTCTGCCTCAGCTTCCCAAGTAGCTGGGACAACAAACTTGTACCATCACACCTAGCTTCTTTTTTTGATTTTGTGGAGATGAGGTCTTACCATGTTGCTTAGGCTGGTCTTGAACTCTTGGAATCAAGTAGTCCTCTTGCTTCAGCCTTCCAAAGTTTTTAAAAAGAAACGTGAGATCACATGAATAAAAAAACTCAAAGCTTACTGTTTTACAGACATCATATATACTGAAGAAAGTATACTTTGCTATTTATCAATCTGTTTTTTTTCCTCCCTGAGGTTTTATGTAGCGTTTTAAACTGAACTCCTGGGATCAGGCATAAAATGATATAAATAATAAAGCAAAACTTTTATAAAATTCAAAAATTTTATTTTCAGAATGAGTATGAGCAGTTAAATTATGCAAAACAACTGAAAGAAAGATTGGAGGCTTTTACAAGAGATTTTCTTCCCCACATGAAAGAGGAAGAGGAGGTAAGCAAAATTTTTTCCCCTTGTGATTTAGATCTGTAAAATTCTCAAAATACCATTTTATCCTAAAGGTTCTTCAAAAAAGTGTACCGGAAGATATGACTGGTTGAAAAAGAGAAGCCTCCAGCTTCTTTTGGGGCTGAAGAAAAACCTAACAGAAAAAATAAAAGCCTAATTTTGTTCCCTTAGAAACGTTGCTGCTTTTCATTGAATGAATGACTTAATTCATCTACTCGATAAATTTTTTTTTTTCTGTAAATGGCACTGTGTTAAATGTTAATGACTTTCTCTTACTCTAATGTGTTTTCAGATCCTTAAGAGATTCTTTTTGTTTGTTTGTTTTTAGAAAGCTGGATTTATTGAGAGAACAGAAAAGCTCCCACAGTGGGAGGGGACCCAAAGGGGTTGCCCAAGAGAGAATTCAAACTTTAAATTTTTTTTTGTATTTTCATGCTAAGTTTAAATTATTTTTAGTGTTTTTTTTTCTTTTCTAGCAAGTAGTGGACTTTAGTAATTAAATAGTGGTTTTAAGATTATCAGCCCTATGACTAATACACATGTATTAGGTTGTCATTAACTAGATGGGCAACACATTTTTTGTTTCTGTTCTTCCTCTAATTTGAAAGGAATATCAGTGTAAGAAATAGAGAAATTATTTAACTGGATACCTGTTCAGCTGTAAATCAGTTACTGTAGTGTTTCTTAACTATGGCTTCATTTTATAGTCAGGTTGGTATTTCAAAAACAAACTTCTTCTTAAGCCCTTTCCAGACCTGCTAAATCAAGTGAGAGGCATTGGCATGGATATTTTTTTCAACGTCCTCTAACTCATTGTAGTATGCAGCCAGCATTGAAATCACTGACTTACTAGAGCAGTGTTTCTCATCCTGTGATATAAGGTCCATCAAAATTATCTGAAAAAACAACAAAAAGCCTTGATTCTACCTCTAAAGATTCCAATTCTATAAACTGGAGGTTGGGACTGAGCATCTGTTTGCAGAAAAAAATCTTCATAGATAATTATCATAGGAACCACTACACTAAAATAATAATTTGAAGAAATATCTCCAGCCGGGCTCAGTGGCTCAGCCTGTAATCCCACGCCTTTGGGAGGCTGAGGTGAGTGGATTGCCTGAGCCCGTGGGTTCGAGACCCGCCTGGGCAGCGAGACCTCATCTCTACAATAAAATAAAAAAATCAGCCGGGCGTGGTAGCACGTGCCTGTAATTCTGGCTTCTTGGAAGGCTGAGGTGGAAGGATCGCCGGAGCCCAGCAGGTCGAGGCTGCGGTGGCCGGGACTGGCCACTGCACTCCAGTCTGGGCGACCGAGTGAGACTCCAACTCAAAAAAAAGAAACATCTCCAAAATCTAGAAATAGTATGGAGAAGTTTAAGATCTCAGTTTGAGTACACTTTAATTTGAGGCAGAGAACCTGTTTGAGTAGAATTCTGTTACTATGGTACCAGAAAGCAGTTAACTGACGTAAATGTTTAATAGTAAGAGAATGATTTAGAGTGTTTATAAGCTCTGTAAGGGAAAACTTTCTGGTCCTGATACTTTAAAATGATTTAGGGATTGACTTATTAACTGGAGAACCCATAGCAATAAGGAATTTTTTGGTGATATTCTTTTCTGCAGTTTTTAGATAACTAACTCTGTGGTGACAACTGCAATTTTTTTCAAGTTAGAGTATCGCTCTGTCACCCAAGTTGGAGTGCAGTGGCAGGGTCACGGCTCACCACAGCCTCAACCTCCTGATTTCAGGTGATACTTACACCTCAGCCTCCCAAATAGCTGGGACTATAGGCGTGTGCCACCATGTCCAGCTAATTTTTTTTTTGTTTTGTAGAGATGAGGTCTGGTTATGTTGCCTAAACTGATCTCGGACTCCTGGGCTCAAGCGATTCTCCCACATGACCACCCAAAGTGGTGGGGTTATAGGAATGAGCCTCTATTAGACTCTATTAGACTCTTTAAGATATATATATATATGGTCATAGTCCTACACTTGAGCCATTAATAATTTAAAGAGTGTAGAATAAAACAAAACTTAGTTAAGCATCTTTCCTGATGAATACTTTGTTTAATTTAGGTTTTTCAGCCCATGTTAATGGAGTATTTTACCTATGAAGAGCTTAAGGATATTAAAAAGAAAGTAATTGCGCAGCATTGCTCTCAGAAGGATACTGCAGAACTTCTTAGAGGTCTTAGCCTATGGAATCAAGCTGAAGAGCGACAGAAGTTTTTTAAATATTCTGTGGATGAAAAGTCAGATAAAGGTGAGATTCATATATGTAGAGAGCAGTTTATTAGTTCCAAGGCCATTGACATCTTGTTAATATGATTTACAGATTTTGTTTGAGGAATAATTTAGGTTAGGCTTGCACTGTGGTGTTAGTTAAAGGCATTTGTTTTTGTGTATAAATTGAAATGAAGACAGTAGTTTGTATTTTGTAATTTAGCGTGTCTGTGATAATTTAACTTCTCATATGCTTGGGTCATATGCAGTGTGGTTCATATGCAATGTAGTGTTTCTTGAATGGATTTATATATGCACAATGAAAAGTATTAAACTATCAATACAGAACACTCACGTGCTCAAAGTTGGCCAATTAAAATTACTGAAAATTGCTTAGCCCTTAACTGTACCCCACAATTTAAAAATAAAAAATATGTATTTAAAAAAATTACTGAAAATTACCATCATACAGAGCATTTTTGTTCCATTGTCCATAGTGGCTGCTTTTTATTTTTCCTTGTGTTTTTTATCAGTTTTCAAAATCAGTTATGGTTATAGCTTATTTTCATCCTTTTCCATGTGTCTCTCAGCTTAAATCCAATAGTATTCAGAGGAATGAGTAGGAGAGGCAGAGTTTTTCTGTGTGTAGTTACATGGAGAGGTTTTCTATGTACAGTTACTTTGAGAATACAAATGAGAAATGCAAGTAAAATGTTTGCCTATTTTCTGAATAGGCTACTTCCTCATTTTTTATTCTTATTTATGTTCAATAGCTTTTTTTTGTGAGTTGGAGTCTCACTTTGTCACCCAGACTGGAGTGCAGTGGCACGCTTCTGGCCACCGCAGCCTCGACCTGCTAGGCTCTTGTGATCCTTCCACCTCAGCCTTTCAAGTAGCTGGAACTACAGGTGTGCACTACCACACCTGGCTAATTTTTTTGATTTATTGTAGAGATGAGATCTCGCCAAATTGCCCAGGCGGGTCTCGAATCCGCAGGCTCAGGCAATCCACTCACCTCAGCCTCCCAAAGCATGGGACAGTTGGGATTCTTAAGCTAGTAAGCATTCCCTACTTCTTCGAGATGGGTGACACCAATGGTATTTCTGTTAAAATAGCTTAAAATGTTTTGAAATTGGTCAGTTTATTTTATTTAACAAAGTAGGTGAGATACATGTTTAAACAAAAATGATTTTATAAGTTAAGCTATAATTGAGTCTATAAAACTTGTTATGCTTTACTCTGAAATGTAGCTTGTGCCTTAGATACCAAGCTAAGATCTATTGTGTCTGGTTTAATTATAATTATAACATGGAATTTAAAAGCATCACACTTATTACATTTAATTTTCCCACTCCTTCAAAGCAAATTATAGCTGTTTTATGTTTTAAATATTTGGCGTTTTAAGAGTGGTAGCTTAATGTGATTCTAGGCCGGGCTCGGTGGCTTAGCCTGTAATTCCAGCACTTTGGGAGTCCAAGGTGAGTGGATTGTCTGAGCCTGGGGGTTCAAGACCAGCCCAGGCAACTTGGCGAGACTTCGTCTCTACAGTAAATAAAAAAAATTAGACAGGCATGGTAGTGCACGCCTATAGTTACAGTTACTTGGAAGACTGAGGTGGACGGTTCACTGGAGCCCAGCAGGTCAATGCTGGGGGTTACCGTGAGTGAGCCACTGCATTCCAGCCTGGGCGATGGAATGAGACTCTGACTTAAAAATAAAAAAAGAATGTGATTCTAGCATTTCTATATTTAAGTTGCTTTGTGAAGATAAATCAGATACACGGAGTACTCAAATTCTTCATAGTACTTTGATGATTAATGCTTCATATTTTATATTGCAACACCACATTTAAACTTTAATTTGGAAAATTGTTACTGAAATAATACATTATGGAAATTGTACATACAGTGACTACTTCCTATAATAGTTGCTGACAGAAGATTTCTTATCAGTGTGTAACAGTATCAGAAATATTTGCAACAGTATCAGAAATATTTGCATTCTATTGTCTCAGACTGGGGCATAAATAACTTAAGTAGGTTAAAGAAGTCAGATTTCACGGAATTTTTGTATGAAATGTGAAAATTCAAGATGGAACATAAGGAAGGTAGTGACAGGAGTCGTGATATGTGAATGGAAAAGGTTGTGAGATTTGTATGTGTCGTTAAAAATGCCAGGCAGTCTCATAATCTAGCTGACTCTGAAGCTGTGTAACCTGTTTGGTTCCTTTTTCCAATGATGCTACTTATGCTACAAAGTGAGTATTGTTTTTTTCCTGTGATGCCTTTGTAAGAGGAAGTTAGTTCTGTGTTCATTATTGTAGCATCCACTGATGAAGTATGATTTGAGCCATGATAGTTTAACCCTACTGCTTCTTAACAAGTTTAACATCCTCATGTTACCTCTAATACGTGTTATTTCCTTTTCCCATCTTGCAAGTAGAAAGAAATTGACTTCAGGCACTGAATTTTATTTATGGATATATGGTTGTAATCTGTTATTGCATTTGCTCTTATAGCCTTTACTGCTAACTTTTTCTTTTTTATTTCAGAAGCAGAAGTGTCAGACCACTCCACAGGTATAACCCATCTTCCTCCTGAGGTAATGCTGTCCATTTTCAGTTACCTTAATCCTCAAGAGTTATGCCGATGCAGTCAAGTAAGCACTAAATGGTCTCAGCTGGCAAAAACTGGATCGCTTTGGAAACATCTTTACCCTGTTCATTGGGCCAGAGGTAGGTAAATGGGACTTTAAGTTTGTGTTTTAAAAATATGTCCATCTGCTTTCCTAGATGAATACGCAGACATTAATAAGCAAGATCAAGGAGGGAAACTCTGAAAGTTGACCCGAAAAGTAGATTTCTTAGTTAGATGATGTCTTTTTGGGAGAGTTTTGAAAAGCTAATGATGGTGAAGTAGTCATGGGTAAATTATATGATGTCTGCAATTTCTTTTAAAATAATTAGGAAAATATAGTGGGGGGAGGCAATGCAAAAAGATTGGTAAAACTTGTTAGTTGAAGATAAGTAATGGGTACATGGGGATTCATTATGCTAGTTCTTTCTATTTTGGACAATGTTTGGAATTTTTCATAGTTAAAATCTAAAAGTAAAATCAACTGGTTTTCAGAAATGCTTTAAATAACTAGATTATGAGTATTTCTAAAATATAATTTAAAGTGAAGATACCATTATGGCTCTGGTGGTGGCTCAAAAAGCTATGAATCAATCTTTGCCTTTTTTTTTGAGTTGGAGTCTCACTCTGTCGCCCAGACTGGAGTGCAGTGACATGCTCCCAGCCACCGCAGCCTCAACCTGCTGGACTCCAGCAATCCTTCAGCGTCAGCCTTCCAAGTAGCTGGCACTACGGGTGCGCACTACCGCGCCCGGCTAATTTTTGATTTATTGTAGAGATGAGGTCTCGCCAAGTTGCCCAGGTGGGTCTCGAACCCGTGGGCTCAGGCAATCCACTCACCTCAGCCTCCCAAAGGTACGGGATTACAGGCTGAGCCACCGAGCCCAGCTATTGTATCTTTTTTTTAAAACTGGTAATGCCTCCTTCTCTAAATCACAATTTCATATTAATTAATTTACTTTTACATGTGAACAGTAAAAGAAAAATTTTATGAAAGTGTAATGCAGGTGTAAGTTAAATATAGTTGACATGGCATACATTTTTTGAATTTCACTGAATTAAAAGTTTCTTCTAGGTAAGTATTAGCCTCAAAATTCACTTTTTTTTTTTTTTTAGTTTTTTATTTGAGACTTTATATCTGATTTGAATTATAAGTCTAATTTAAAAGCAGTTTTAGTTGTTACAGTTATAGATGGTGTTCTTAAAATAAGCTGTTGTTAGATATTTAGTTTCTTGAGTGAAGCTATTTGAAGTATATGATCTGAATGATTAGAATTGTTATTTTTATGTGGAATAATTGTTCCTATTAATTGTAGAATAATGAAATATTGAGTGAAGCATCAAATAAGGGAAACATGGTTGTATCAACTACTTTTTTGTTCAGCTATTTTTAATTTTTAAGGATTATGAATTAGTTATTAAGAATACATAATTATGTACAATTTGATATGAATATAAAAATATGATAATGCTTTTATATGGTAATGCTTTTCTAATTTCCGTGAATTCACCCAAATCTTAAATATGCTTCCTTTTTATGTTTTTAATATATTTAAACAAAAAGTTCCAGTAAAAATGACTTTTTTATTTTGTTTTGAGTAATTCTCAAAACAAATAAACATTATGTAAGTCTTCATATAGTCTAAAAATAGTGTTTATGTAATACTGTTGACAATTATTTTTCTTATAATTGCTGTCTTCCAGGGAACATTTGAAATGCCTAGAAACATTTTCTTTGTCCCTTCTTTGGTATCTATTGGGTAGAGATTTGGGTTGCTGCTATGTACCCAGTAATCCACAGGACAGCCCCACAGCAAAGAATTACCCAACTCATAATGTCAATAGTGTTAAGATTGAGAAATCCTAATTTAGATGTATTGTTAAGAGTTCAGTAAATTCTGCTTTACCTCTCACTTCGCAATCACGTGACTTAGTTGGCAGTATATTCTCTAAGAGCTGTAAATTTATGGTTTAGCTTTAGCTTAATCTTTCCCCTTGCCTTCTGTTCCCACCTACTTCTGAACTGCTGACTGATTAACTACAGAATAGAAAGTCCTGCTTCCTTTTGCTTATTAGCTATTATCATAATGGGGCTATTGTCAGTATGAAACCATAGAGAGGGTAAACGTTAATTTGTTTTTGGAGATCTCTAAAATTTTATATAAGACTATTGATAATTATTTTTCTTATAAATAGGATTGTAACCATTAAACGTATACTGTAGACAAAACTGAAAAACTTTGAGAGTAGATACATAACAAGTACATAGTAGACTATGTAAATTTTTATAATTATTGCTCTGTTTTCATAGTGTCAAAGAGAATTTTGTTTGGGAAAATATGAACTATTGGTTAATTAATTAATATAGTTAATCGAACCCACCTAGTAATAGTTCTTTTCAGTATATTTGAAATTGAATTCTAGCCGGGCTCAGTGGCTCAGCCTGTAATCCCACGCTTTGGGTGGCTGAGGTGAGTGGATTGCCTGAGTCCCCAGGTTCGAGACTTGCCTGGACAACTTGGCGAGACCTCATCTCTGCAATAAATCAAAAAATCAACCGGGCATGGTAACGCATGCTTGTAATTCCGTCTACTCGGAAGGCTGAGGTGGAAGGATCACTGGAGCCCAGCAGGTCAAGGCTCCAGTGGCCGGGAGTGGCCACTGCACTCCAGTCTGGGCGACAGAGTGAGACTCCAACTCAAAAAAAAATTGAATCCTTTGCTCACGTGTAGTTTTTTTTTAGCCACAATTAAATATTTCTAAAAATATCTGAGCTGCCTAGAGCACAAATGTTTTCTGTGTGTAAAGGTTTTTCTTGTGAATACATTAGTTGTTTGTAATGACAGGCAATCTGATCTTTTTTTGTTTCTCTTATTTATTCAATGAGTAGGTGACTGGTATAGTGGTCCTGCAACTGAACTTGATAATGAACCTGATGAAGAATGGGTGAAAAATAGGAAAGATGAAAGTCGTGCTTTTCATGAATGGGATGAAGATGCTGACATAGATGAATCTGGTAAGCCTGTTTGGAATTAAAATTATTACATAATATTTTAATGATTGATACTATATTAACTAAGTTCTTCTAATTATTATATGTTAAGAGTGATGTGTCTTCTAAGGGGCACTGGTATTTCTAAGATTACTGCTTTTTAAAATTTGAAGGAAAAATAAAATTTAAGATTTATTTAGTATGATTTTTAAGAAATGTATAGGACTGTTTCCCACTTGCTTTTATATTAAAATAAAAAATCAGAAAATTTTACCTTTTTTCCTTGTGGAAATAACATATATTCATTATAGTGCTTTATAGTTTATAATGTGCTTTTTAGGGTCATTCCAGTTCATTAGTTGAACAGCATTTATTAAGTTAATTGTGGCCTGGGTGAAGAAGGATGAAGCTGTTGAATGTACTTACTAATTTGTAAACCGTCCTAACACTTGCCTCATAGAGTTATTGTAGGATTAAGGAGAAATATGTATGAAATACGAAGTTTTTTGTAAGTGGTAAGATATTATAAAAATTAGCGTAGCCATTCGTTAAACCTTGTGTGAGAGTTCAAGGGTAAGACTTTAAAACTATCTTTAAAGAACTCACAAATGGCAGAGAATTTAGAATCCATTATTTATTTATTTAATTATTTGAGGCAGAGTCTTGCTCTGTTCCAGACTGGAGTGCAGTGGCATGATCATGGCTCACTGCAACCTTGACCCCCTGGGTTCAGGCGATCCTCCCACTTCAACCTCCCAAATAGCTGGGACTATAGATACACGCCGCCATGTGGAGACAGGGTCTTGCTGTGTTGCTAAAACTAGTCTTAAACCCTGACCTCAAGCAGTCCTCTCATCTCAGTTTCCTGTAGTGCTGGGATTATAGCAATGAGCTACCACGCTTGGCTGGAATGCATAATTCTTGGAGGTACAGAGAAGTGCTGTTTGGGTGTATAAGGAAGACATAAATTCTCTTAGATAATCTAGGTAAAAGGTGAAGTAGTAAAAAATTAACAGATAGCCAGGACGTTGGCTCAATCTGTAATCCCGCGCCTTGGGAGGCTGAGGTGAGTGGATTGCCTGAGCCTGCGGGTTCAAGACCCACCTGGGCAACTTGGTGAGACCTCATCTCTACAATAAATAAAAAAATCAGCCGGGTGTGGTAGCGCACGCCTGTAATTCCAGCTACTCGGAAGACTGAGGCGGAAGGATCGCCGGAGCCCAGCAGGTCGAGGCTGCGGTGGCCAGGAGCAACCACTGCACTCCAGTCTGGGCGACAGAGTGAGACTCCAACTCAAAAAAAAAAAATAACAGATGAGACATTCTTTTTACTTGGTAAAACTGAAACTGTATTTGTAAAGCTGCCAACTTAAAGAAAAAATCTGATCTGGTAAAAGAGCCAAATGTGTCGAAAGTAATCACTATAAATGCAAACATTATTATTTCAGCAGCTAAAGTAGTTTATTTTTATGAAACAAAGATGCTGCACTTTGGTATGATGAAAAGTTTGGAAGGTACTATATAAGGAAGAGGACCACTCCAGTTAATGTTTGGTAATGTGCATACAGTGGCAGGCATTGCTTTAGGAGGTAAGGATATAATGATGAAACGCTGGCCTTATTGAGCTTAAAATTTGGAGAGGGGAGGCAGACAACAAACATAGGTAAAATACAGGCTGTATTAGATGTGGCAAGTGTTGTAGAGAAAAGTCAAGAAGGGGGAGCCTGCCAGGGAGAGAGGAAAGAGGTTGCAATTTTAAACAGAATGATTAGTTGGCAAGGTCCTCTGAGAAATTTGAGCAGAGACCTAAAGGAGCTGAGGTTTTTGCTCCAATAGCAAACTTAAGGGAGATTCAATTTATTTGTTCTAGAAATGTGACAAAGCAGGACTGCAATTCAAAAAATAAAAATAATAAATAGATAAGTAGATGTATGAAACATAAAAGTAAAACTTGGATACTCTAGTAATCTCTCTTTTCTCTCTGAAAAATTGATTTATAATCCCCAATATAAGAATTTTAAAGACTTTACCAAACTCAGTGTATTTATAGCCAAAATGATGACTGTCATTCTCCTTCATACTGAAAAGGAAAGGGTAAGACTATAAGGATTGAACCTTTTTACAATAATATATCCGTTCAGTTGATTAGTGGATTTAAGACTAAATTATAAATCTACCATCTACTTCAGGGCTTTTTCAACTTAGCTGGTCTTGTAGAGAAGTTACTGTTCTTCATTGAATGCCCTTTTTTTTTTTTTTTAAGATTTCATAGTCCCAATTACCCTGATTTGATTATTATACATTGTATATAGATATCAAGATATCACATGTACTCTCAACTATATATATCACTAAAAATAAAGATAGATTTCACAGTAAACAGCACACATTTAGATAGGGCCACAGAAACAAAAGAATGGCTTCGGAATAAAATTATAATAAATTAAATGGAGATCACAGTAGTTTTTAATCTCTTTATATATTACACATATATTTGGCTAAAAAGGAATTTAGGATAATATCTATATTATCCTAATTCAGTGGAAAGATTACTGAATTTGTTAAGTGATCCTTCTGCCTCAGACTCCCAAGTAGCTGGGACTACAGGCATGCATTACCACACCTGGCTTTTTTTTTTAATTTTTGTAGTAATGAGGTCTCACTGTATTGCCTATGCTGGTCTCGAACTCCTGGGCTCAAGCCTTCCTCTTGCCTCAGCCTTCCAAAGTGCTGGGATTATAGGTGTGAACCACCACATTTGGCCAGTTTTGTTTTAAATGATACTTTATAAACTTACTCTGTTTAAATGTTTTGTCTTTCGAGTTAGTTAAGTCTTCCGATAAGCATAATAACAGTAGGATCCTGAGAAAGGTGATACAATTATTAGTTCATTCTTTTTAGTGTAGTTTGTTTTTTCCTTATATCAAATTGGAGTTTGTAGTTTTTTGTTGTGATTGCTGTTACAGAAGTACATCTTGCTGTAAACGTCCAAACTATGTAGAAGTTACTAAGTAAAACAAAAGTCATTCTCACTTTTAACTTTATAAAAATTCTGTGGTACCTTCCTTTGCTTGATTTATTGTCACCTGGCTACTTGAGTTGAGTTGCAAATCTTTTCTATTTCTGTTCCCTTTTTAATTAGGAAGAATAACTGATGGTTCTTTTTTCTATGGATCATTTTTGTGTGTGTGTTGGAGTCTCATTCTGTCCCCCAGGCTGGAGTGCAGTGGCACGCTCACAGCCACTGCAGTCTCGACCTGCCGGGCTCAGGTGATCATTCCACCTCAGCCTTCCAAGCATCTGGAACTATAGGCATGCACTACCACGCCCTGCTAATTTTTTGATTTATTGTAGAGATGAGGTCTCACCATGTTGCCCAGGCTGGTCTCAAGCCCGTAGGCTCAGGCAGTCTTCTCGCCTCCACCTCCCAAAGTGCTGGGATTACAGACGTGAGCCTCTGTATCCGGCTGGATCACTTTTTTATAACATCTTTTCCTTTGAAGGACTTACTTTTCTTTTAGTATGCACAACTTTTTAAAAAACTTTTTTCATTGCCTAAAAATGGAATTTTTTACATGAGTATAAGGATAGCGCAGACTATTTCATATTTAACAATTTGATGAGTTCTTGAGTAGCCTAATTATAATTAGTGTGTCAAGTTCTTAGACTTTTGAATTCATTTTACAGAAGAGTCTGCAGAGGAATCAATTGCTATCAGCATTGCACAAATGGAAAAACGTTTACTCCATGGCTTAATTCATAATGTTCTGCCATATGTCGGTACTTCCGTAAAAACTTTAGTATTAGCATACAGCTCTGCAGTTTCCAGCAAAATGGTATGTATGAATTAGCACTGGTTTAGTACTAAGAAAAAGCCATGACGTAACTTTGGTTTGCTTCTTCCTGAGTTTGATTAAGGAAAAAACCCACAAGTATTGAGTGCCTTCATGGGTAGACATATATTACTAGGTTTCATATTATTTCAGTTCTTACAACAATCTTTGTAGCATAGATATCATTGCCTATACATTATAAATAAGGAAACTGAGACTAGGAGAGACTGAACATTTTATACAATTGTGTAGATGTTAAGTGATAAAGCCCAGTTTTATATGATTCTGTATAATACCTAGGGCATGGTAAGATGGGTGAGATGAAACCACTGTTTTTTAAAAGTGTGTCTTGTTAGAATCTCCTTGTATTTGCCTTGAAAATGTAAATTTCCTGGGCTTACTCTCACAACACTGAAACAGATTGTCAGGGAAATGAACCCAGAATATTTTTAATGTCCTGTTGAAGTGTTTTTTTTTATATTGACAAAAGTTTGAAAAATCACTGAATTATTTTTTCTAATAGTTATCTGCTACTTAATAACTAAAGGTCTTCAGATCTTCACAGTGACAATTTTTTTCCTCATAGGTTAGGCAGATTTTAGAGCTTTGCCCTAACCTGGAACATCTGGATCTTACCCAAACTGACATTTCAGATTCTGCATTTGACAGGTTAGTTATTTTAAAATGTTTAGACATTAAAATATTTAAACATAAAAAAATTGTTCTATGATTTCTCATTTACATAATTGCCATTTATTCATGCTGTTTCTTTTTGTTTTTTATATATATATATTTTGAGTCAGGGTCTCACTGTGTCACCCAGACTGGAGTATAGTGACACAATCTCAGCTCACTGTAGCCTCAACCTCCTGGGCTCAGACCATCCTTTCACGTTAGCCTCCTGAGTAGCTGGGACTATAGGTGCACTCCACCATGCCTGGCTAAGTTTTTGACTTTTTGTAGAGACGAAGTCTGGCTATGTTGCCTAGGCTGATCTCAAACTTCTGGGTTCAAGCAGTCCTCTCACTTTGGCCTCCCAAAGTACTGAGATTACAGGCGTGCACCACCGTGGTTAGCCACTGCTGTTAATTTTTACTGCCAGATATAAGTCATGTACATAACTTGATAGCACTTCCAATTTTTTGCCTCTTGTTCATAGGTCCCAGGTGATCGAAAACTCCCCCGTGTGTCATCTTGCTGTTTCCATAGCCTTGTACTATGTCTAGGTTTTTGAGCCTTGCTGTGTGTAACCATGTAGATTGCTATTACAAGTTTTTTGTTTTTTTTTTTTTTGAGTTGGAGTCTTACTCGCTCGCCCCGGCTGGAGTGCAGTGGCACACTCATGGCCACCCCAGTGTCGACCTACAGGGCTCCGGTGATCCTTCTGCCTCAGCCTTCCAAGTAGCCGGATGCAGGCATGTGCTATTGCACCCGGCTAATTTTTGATTTATTGTAGAGACAAGGTCTTACCAAGTTGCCTGGGCTGGTCTCGAACCCATGGGCTCAGGCAATCCACGTGAACCACCGAGCCCGGCCAGTATTACATGTTTTTAAGAAGCTTTAGTTTTAGTTGGGCTTGAAAGCTCCTCAGATTCCTCACAGTTACTCTGAAATAGTATTGTTTTCTTCAAACTACACTCTTCACTGAGTATATTTCCTTGGATATCACCAATTTCCCTCCTATTGTGGCTCACTGTCTCTTTCCCACCCTAGCATTTATATCACCTTTTGTCCTGTTTTCAGAGGGAGAGGTACTCTTCTCTTGCTAAGACTAATGCTCTACCAATCCCTGCTTCTTGTTTCTTTTGGATTTTTCTCCATTCATCATTAGTTACTTTCTTTATCTCATGTGTTTACAGCCTCTCTTCTACTGGATACTTTTAGGATAATAAGCTTAAGTCTTTCCCAGCCTTACTCCTCTCCCATTCTACCTTTATGTTAGGTTAGCAATACTGTTAATCCAAAAAATGTTTTTCTTTTTCTTTTTTTTGAGTTGGAGTCTCAGTCTGTCACCCAGGCTGGAGTGCAGTGGCAGGATCAAGGCTCACTGCAGCCTTAGTCTCCTGGGCTCAGGCGATCCTTCCACCTCAGACTCCTGAGTAACTGGGACTATAGGCAAATGTCATTGTGCCCAACTGAAATTTAAAAAAATTTTTTTTTTGTAGAGCTGAGGTCTCTGTGTTGCCCAGGCCAATCTCGAATTTCTGGCCTCCCGTAATCCTCCTGCCTTGGCCTCCCAGTGTGCTGGGATTACAGACGTGAGCCACTGTGCCCAGCTACTCTTAGTTTCTTATTACTCTTATTGTATTTTTGTATTCCTAGCACCAAAAATAGTGTCTGACAATAGATAACTCAGTAAATGTTTTAGTGATTATATTAGATATAAAATCATTCTTCTAGTTTTCATCTACCTACATATAATGAAATGCTTTTAAAGAATTTAACGATATTCATTAATCCTCTTGCTACCTCTTAATTATAGTTGGTCTTGGCTTGGTTGCTGCCAGAGTCTTCGGCATCTTGATCTGTCTGGATGTGAGAAAATCACAGATGTGGCGCTAGAGAAGATTTCCAGAGCTCTTGGAATTCTGACATCTCATCAGAATGACTTTTTGAAAACTTCTACAAGCAAAATTACATCGACTACGTGGAAAAATAAAGACATTACCATGCAGGCCACCAAGCAGTATGCCTGTTTGCCTGATTTAACTAACAAGGGCATTGGAGAAGAAATAGATAACGAGCACCCCTGGACTAAGCCTGTTTCTTCTGAAAATTTTACTTCTCCTTATGTGTGGATGTTAGATGCTGAAGATTTGGCTGATATTGAAGATGCTGTGGAATGGAGACATAGAAATGTTGAAAGTCTTTGTGTAATGGAAGCAGCATCTAGCTTTAGTTGCTCCACCTCTTGTTGTTATAGTAAGGATATTGTTGGACTAAGGACTAGTGTCTGCTGGCAACAGCATTGTGCTTCTCCGGCCTTTGCATATTGTGGTCATTCATTTTGTTGTACAGGAACAGCTTTAAGAACTATGTCCACACTCCCAGAGTCTTCTCCAGTGTGTAGAAAAGCATCAAGGACTAGATTGCCTAGGGGAAAAGACTTAATTTACTTTGGGAGTGAAAAATCTGATCAAGAGACTGGACGTGTACTTCTGTTTCTCAGTCTGTCTGGATGTTATCAGATCACAGACCATGGTCTCAGGTGAGATATTAGTTCAAGAGCGGTAGGAAATGGATAGGTTTTCATTTTCAAGTAGTATATAAAAATTTTGGTCTAAGTAATTCCTTTCATTTGATGTACTTTAAGCAAGCGTGTTAACCAACTTCTGCCTTAGTTCAGTGTTGGAACAATAGAACTTGTGTTATCAACATGAAGTTTCATTTCAGTCAGTTTATATCTTCATGTTGATAACAGAAGTTCTATTGTGATATATGGAAGAATATAAATTTAAAAGTTTATGAATACTTAGTAAATGGCTATTTTAATATTCACATATTTTAAGGTACTTCATGGATGAATAAGATACACTTCTTACACTTAAGAACATGCAACAGAAGAAAATGTGTATGACATATTTTGTTGCTGTGTATTATTTGTGTATGTTACGGTTTTATATTGAGGGTTTTGGAAAATGTAGAATGTCCACAGAAGTATTATATAGCTCTGAAGTGTTTATAAAAACCAAAGCACTTCTGAGCTAAGATTTAGGTTGTGTAGCAAGAGTTTGGAACTTTTTGTGCTTGATCATGATCTACGTACTTCTGTTGCTTTCTTAAGTCATAAGGAGAACATGTGGAAGAAGTTCTCCATTTTATTTTCTCTTTTTTTTTTTCCTCAAGGAAAGGAGGGGTGGAGGTAAAACATTATTAGCCTACAGAGGTAGCTCTTCTCAACACCCAGGTTCTATTTTATGATTTATAGGATCCACTTGGAACTGTTAGGTTATGAGTGTCGAGATCATAACATGGTTCACTGAGGACTGGACAGATTTGGTCTAGATTGGTACTTGTTTTTTCTTTTTTCTGTAGAATTGGCTTTGTGCAAAATACTTAATCTCATAGTTGCGAGACTTATATAAGCTGCATATGTGTAAAGTATCTAACTGATACAGAATAGGTTTTCAGTAAGTGGTAGCAGCAGTTCAGTAATTGATTTTCTTTGATATGAGCCATTTAGATTAATTGCATGTTTCCTTTTAATATTGGGATGTCAGATATTTTATAATGAAAAATTCTTCCAGTGCAAAACCTAATATTCCTTGCCATTATAAAAAATACTTAATATGAAATATTACAAAAATCTTTTGTAAGTCATGTACAGTAACCAAAAGTATTCTCCCTTGAGGTAACTTCTACTGCCATGGTTTGGCTACTGTGAATCATTTCATTCATTTTCTGTTTATTTAAACCCATGTGCATTTATTATAGTTTCTTTAAAAAGCAAAGATAACCTTATTCTGAGTTTTTTACTTTTTTTTTTTGAATCAGAATCTCACTCTGTCGCCTAGGCTGAAATGCAGTGGCACACTCACGGCCATCACAGCCTTGACCTGCTAGGCTCAGGCAATCCTTCCACTTTAGCCTTCCAAATAGCTGGAAACACAGGCACTTACCACCATCCAAGCCTGCCTAATTTTTTGATTTGTTGTAGAGACAAAGTCTCGCCATGTTGCCCAGACTGGTCTCAAACACGTGGGCTCAGGCAGTCCTCTCGCCTCCGCCTCCCAAAGTGCTAGAATTACATGCATGAGCCACCGTGCCTGGCTAGCTTGGTTCTTTTTTTTTTTTTTAAAGCAGGATTTATTGAGAAGACAGAAAAGCTCCCACAGTGGGAGGGGACCCAAGGAAGTTGCCCGAGTTTATTCTTTAAGAAAATTTTTATTATATAGGGTACCAAAAAAAAAATAATAAACATATTTTAAGACGTGTTATCCATGTATTACTTTTTGAAGTTGAATTAAATTAAATTATGGTAGCAGTGTGTAGTATTACATTTGCTCAGTCGTACTTCTCTTTTCTTTGATTGCTTTGCTTGTCACATGGTGATGCTAGCATTCATTTGATTGACACCATCTTTTGGGGGAATGTCATACTTAAAATGTGTATACATTTTTTGGGCACCCTCATATATTTATATTTTAACAAATATGATTTCAGGTTTTTTTTAGTGCAACTTGGTTTTAAAGTAAAAGTAATTTTTGGTTTAATTTAAGACCTAACAACTCATTTTTCATTGCCATATCTTTTTCATTACCATCTTACCTTACTAAAATTTATTTGTGGCTCCATTCAGCTGCATTTTCAACATGACTATACTGTTTGTTCAAAGAATAAAGTAATATGTACCATTGTAATTCTTCAGAGCGACATTGATTTCTGGCCATGTGGCAGTTTTCCTTTTTTTTAAAAAAAAAATTTCTAAGAATGTTTAAAAAATAGCCCAGAACTTATTCAAATTCTTTATAATTAAAGATTGATTTCAAGGGTAGTCAAAATTTTGATGAATCCAAGAGGTGTTTTTTGCTTTCAATGATAAAGGATTTAGAAATTCATCTGGTATATGGGGGGGATACTTCTTCTAAAAGCAGTTGTAAGGTTTTATTTGATAACCAGAGAGATTCCTGCTCCCCTTCTTGATAAGGCAGAGTTAATTTCCTAAGTAAAATTTGAAGAAGAGCAGAAAAGTGTTTTTTAGTTTATCAAGTGATTTTGGGCAGTTATTATTAACAAAATCTGATGGTTTTAAACCTTGGACTAAATGGATAATTTCTCATTACTGGGATTGGAAATAAGTTGCATTTCTTCCTTAGGCTTTTCAGGAGTAGTGGTTAGGAGTTTGCATATGAGGTATTCTTGAGAAAAACAGTTGTGTTTGAATTGAAGAAAGAATGCTTTTTGGGAATGGGAGGGAGCACACAGGATCTGTCGTATCTGTGGCTGGTTGAAAAAGTCTTCAGTCTGCAGATTTTCTCTTTTTAATTAGACTTTATCTTGAAGGACTCTTTCTAAATCATTAAATATTTATTGATCACATACTGTTTGTCTTGCACTATTCCAATTGCTAGAGATTCAAAAGAAATAAGATAATTCCTCGCCTTCATGGAGTTTATAATCTATTGGTTGTAATAGACAAAAAAATATATATTCTTAAACTAAATAAATGTTCTGAAGAAAGGTAGAGTTACAAAAGAAAGAATACAGAGAATGGTATTTCATTTTGATGAACCAACAGAGGCTTCTTTGCAAAGAAGCATATACCTGTTTTTGTTTTTTTTTTGAGTTGGAGTCTCACCCAGGCTGGAGTGCAGTGGTATACTCACAGAACTGCTCCCAGACATCTCTTACCCCTATTGTATTGTTATTGTCACAGATTACATCTTTACATATTATATTCTTTAAGATAGATTTATACTTACTGTTTTATGCATTTGTATATGTATCTTTAACTTATCACTTTCTACCTTAAAATAATATACCAATTCATATATAATGAAAGAGCCTTAAAACAGTAAGTACATGTTCCACCTCCTATTATTTGTTATTTTTGCTAAAAAACAACAACAAAATTCTACGTAAGTTATAAGTCTTATAATGTATAACTACTATTCGTTCTTTAAACAATTGTTTTTTGGAAAAATTAAATATAGAAAAAAATCTTTTGTATTCACATATCTACCTTTTCTTTATTCTTTATTTTGTATATATCCATATTTCTATCTGCTGTCATTTTTCTCTGCCTGCAGAACTCACCTTAATATTTTTTGTAGTTTAGGTCTCTTATCAATGAATTATCTTATCTCAGCTCTTATGAAAAAAATTTCATTTTGCCTTTATTTTAGAAAGATTTTTCAGTGTATAGAATTCTAAGTTGACTTTTTTATTTTGGTACTTTCAAGATTTTCATTTTCAGCTTGCGTAATTTCTTTCTTTTCTTTTCTTTTCTTTTTTTAGCAGGGTTTATTGAGAGGACATAAAAGCTCCCACAGTGGGAGAGGACCCAAAGGGGCTGCCTGCGTATTTTCTGATGAGACATCTATTTAAGTTTTTGTCTTTGTTTCTTAAATATGTAATGTGTTTCTTTTCTCCAGCTGCTTACAATTTTTTTCTTTATTGATGGTTTTAATGCAGTTTGAATATCGCACGTGTTAATGTGATTTTCTTCATCTTTATCCTGTTGTTGAGTTTCTTTGATCTGTGGCTTTATAGTTTCTATAAAATTGGGGGGGAAATTCAGCCATTATTTTTTCAAGAGTTTTTTCTCCCCTCCTACTCTCTTTTCCTTACTTCTTGCTAGGACGTTGTTTATGTTAGAATTCTTGATCTCCTTACAGATCACTTAGTGGATTCATTTTTAGGACTATCTTAAGTAACTGCCACAGATTGGGTGACTTAAGACAACAAAATTTATTCCCTCACAGTTCTGGAGGCTTGAAATCCAAAATCAGGGTGTTGACCAAGCTATTCTCCCTCCACATCCTCTAAGGAAGGATTCTTCCTTAGCTTTTCTAGCTTTCATCAGACTCAGGTGTTGCGTGGTTTGAGGCAGCATGACTTCAAGCTCTGCCTTCATCTTTATACAAGGCCATCTTCCGTTCATGTCCATGTGTTTCTGTGTCTCTACATGGTGTTCTCCCTGTCATATCTGTGTCCAAATTTCCCTCTTGGGATTAAGGCCCACTCTTATGACCTCGTTTTAACTAAATAAAATTGACAAAGACCCTATTTCTAGCTAATGTCACTATCATGGATACTGGGGGTTAGGACTTTACTGTATCTTTTTCTTGGGGAGACCCAATTCAACTCATAACAACAGGGCTCTCATTTCTTGCTTTTGTTGATTTTTCTCTTGGTGCCTCATTTCAGATGATCTGCTTGTGTCTTCAGGTCTTACCATTTTTATAATGTCTAATCACTGTTTCTCTGTTTCTCTCATCCAGTGTATTTTTTATTTCAGATACTATATTATCTCTAGAAGTTTCATTGGGCATTCTCTCTCTGTCTCTCTGTCTGTCTGTCTCTCTGTCTCTCTCTCTCCACACAACGCACACATATAGGTACATACATACACATAAATATATAATGATATATATAAATATAAAAATAATATACATGATAGTATATGAAATATATATAAATAAACATTTTCTATTTCTCCCATTATTATTAATAATTTTCTTTTAAATTGTTAAGCAGTCTGGGTGCAGTGGCTCACATCTGTAATCCCAGCACTTTGGGAGGTTAAAATAGGAGAGTTGCTTGAGCCCAGGAGTTTAAGACCAGCCTGAGCAACATCGTGAGACCTTGACTCTACAAAAAATTAAAAAGTCAGTTGGGTACGATGGCACATGAGGTAGAAGAATTGCCTGATCCCAGGAGTTCAAGGCTGCAATGAGCTATGATCATGCCTCTGTACTCCAGCCTCGGTGGCAGAGTGTGACCCTGACTCAAAAAAAATAGGTTCTTTAAAATGAAAATAAGAGGGAGAAGTATACATTTAAACTTCTCATCGAGTTTGGCTTCTTAATTTTTTTTTTCTGTGTTGCTGATTAATGAACTGTTTTTAATAGGTTGATTTCGTCTTTAAACCTCGGTTCCAAAACTTTAAAATGTGCCCTCCTAATCTTAGCCATTCAAATCCTCATTGAATATATTCATCAATAACATATTTACAAGCCCGGCTCGGTGGCTCAGCCTGTAATCCTGTGCCTTTGGGAGACTGAGGTGAGTGGATTGCCTGAGCCCGTGGGTTCGAGACCTGCCTGGGCAGCGAGACCTCATCTCTACAATAAAATAAAAAAATCAGCCGGGCATGGTAGCACATGCCTGTAATTCCGGCTACTCAGAAGGCTGAGGCAGAAGGATCACCAGAGCCCAGCAGGCAAGGCTGCGGTGGCTGGGAGCGGCCACTGCACTCCAGTCTAGGCGATCGAGTGAGACTGCAGCTCAAAAACAAACAAAACAAAACAAAAAAATAATATATCTACAATTCTTTCTAATCTCATTTAATAACTTACATACTTTTTACTTCCTAATTTTTATGTACTTATATAATCAACTTAATTTTTATCTACTACATTAATTACAATGTTAGTTTCTTGACATCCCTTTTCAGTTTCCAGTTTTTCTGATTTTTGCTGTTGTACTATTACTTTCATAGTACCATTGTACAGAAAGTTGATTTCATTGTCATTTTAGCCACCTTTTAATTCTATTTATATCAGTGTTTTTATTCTAAATTATGCCATTAGTTTTTTCATTTTTATTGAAATGCAATTCACTCACCATTGAATTTGCTTTTTTTAAGTGTACAGTTAATTCAGTGAATTTTAGTATGTTTACAAGATTTTTCATCCATTACCATCATCTAATTTAGAAACATTTTTATCATCCCCAAAAGAAACCCCATACTTATGAACAGTCACCCCCCATTCTACCTTACCCCCAGCCTCTCATAAGCACTAATCTGCTTTCTGTCTTTGTAGATTTATGTATTCTGGAATAATAGTATTAATGAAATCATACAATGTGTAACCTTTGGTATCTGGCTTTTTTCACTTAGCATAATGTATGTTATAGTTTGTTTCAGAACTTTGTGACTGCATAATATATAATTGTATAGATATACCATGTTTTATTTGTCTATTCATCAATTTATGGACATTTGAGTTGTTTCTGTTTTCTGACTATTATGAATAATGATAATGTTACTGTGAACATTCATGTGCAAGGTTTTGTATAAACATATGTTTTTAATTCTCTTGAATATATACCAAAGACAGGAATTGCTGGGTCATATGCTAACTCTAATTTTTCTCAGAAGTGCCAGACTGGTCATTAGGTTTAAAACTTAAATAATTTTCTTGATAATTTTTACCTAGACAATAAAGTAGAAGAATGACCATTATAATTCCAAGTTTCAGTACTTAGAATTGAATTACTGTAATGTTTTTATAAAGAAGTTTCATAGACTTCTTTACTGAATGTCTTTAGGGAAAATGTGTAAAGTTTTTCTGAGTTAAATGTATTCCTTCCTAAGGATGAGGTTAGTTATCAGTGTTTTGCAGAAGTTGTTAAATGATTTATTACCAAGTTGAAAGGTATGTAAAATAGTTGTTCAGCCATAGGAATACGTACGTTTGCATAGATTAATATATTCTAATTGCCAAATTATTTTTCTTACAGGGTTTTGACTCTGGGAGGAGGGCTGCCTTATTTGGAGCACCTTAATCTCTCTGGTTGTCTTACTGTAACTGGTGCAGGCCTGCAGGATTTGGTTTCAGTGTGTCCCTCTCTCAATGATGAATACTTTTACTACTGTGACAACATTAACGGTAATGCTTTTTAACAATGAGTTAATTTTGAAGGAACTGGTTTTTAAAAATTTAGGGGTTCTTACAAATTTTATAGTTTTCATTTAGCTTTCTAGATTTCTAATTACCAAACTGTCTTACTTTCAGATTTCATTCTTTTAAATTGTTTTTATTAACTAACTTCTTGAAAGGTAAGTTTTTCTTGCAGACAAATATTTCAAATATTCATTCTGCTGAATTTTGAAGCATGTAATGGTTTAATTTTTGAACCTGCTTTTAAAAATCCTAAGATAAATAATTTGTGATCTTTGTTTTGTTTTGTTTTGTTTCTTTTTCGTAAGCCTGTTATATCCTGCAATGGATCTGTTGAATATACTTTTTCAAAATACATTCAGTGCCTTTTTGGGCATTTGATAGCCAGTGGTAGAAACTGAATTTCCCAGAAGCATAGAAAACTGCTCTTCAGTTATTAGTAAGCAAATTAACTTCCTGTATTTATAACTGGAAAAAAATTTACTTACTATGTAACTGTCTTTTTATAGCATATACTGTTGTCTTTGAGTGCCCGATTCATTTTAAGATGATAGGAAGATCACTGAGTTTTTCTTAGGCAGAAAGATCGATGAGAGCCAGGAAGACTAGAGCGAGTAATAATGACATACCAGGAAGTAGAGAAGTTGGCAAATCTGCTATTTCTCAGAGATTAGATTTTCCTTAAAACCTATATGAAGAGAGAGAAGATCACAGCTCTCTTATTTTTGGAATCACATTGTTATGCAGGAGAAGACCTACCATGTTTTTGATACATCAACACTAAGTCTGACATTTCTTTACTCTCTGTTGCTTTCATTCCTTGTGTATAATCAAGGAATGGTGAAACTGTCATTTTAGTTGCAACCTGCTAAGTCTATAAAACAAAGTGTAATGAGGTGAAGCAGTTACTTTTGTGTATGCAATGGATTTGAGAAGGGAGATCTTTTTTTTAAACATAAAGTTATGTCATTTGTATGTTCAGTGACTTCTTAAGGCTTATAGGACACATTATCAAGAGTAATCAATAAGCAGTTATTTTTATAAGAAAAAATTTTATTTGTATGTTGCACTTAAGTTTTCCATATTTATTTCAGTATAGGCTGTACTTGGAAATAAATCTCAGATCCTAGTTAATTATATTTATTTGGGGGGTATATAGATATAACTGGGTAGAGGCGGGATTGGGTTTCAGTTCATTTTTATGCCTGCTTATTTTGTGTTTGTGTGTTTTTAAACTTCTTGAAATAATTTAGATGATTTTGCACTTTGTCACTATTTGTATCTTAACTGGTTTTGAATAAATAAATATTAAATTATTTCAAAGGAGCAATAATATACCTTTTGTTGAATATAAGATTTTTTTGGATAAATGATTGGTGATTTTCGATAAATGAATTGTAATGAAAATATCTGGCTTTGAAAAATTTGAAAGGAAACTGCCATGTTTCTATATCAATATTAAGTCTCTTTTTATAGCTTGTTAAAGCATGATTTGGGGAAAATGGAAATCCTTTAAAGTTTACAAGGTGACATGTCATATAACATGTGTTGCAGAGTTTCAGGCAGTTGTTCTTAAAGCTATACTGTTATGTAATCTTTTCCTTGAAAGGTCATATGGTCAACCTAGAAAGTGTTTTATTATTTTTTTAATTATTTCAGAAAGCAGTCAGTATGTATGTTTTAATAGATGGCGTTAAAGTAATCGAGAATTGTATATAGGCAACAAATTGTATTTCAGACATTTGAGAGTGATGTTTAACTAAAAATATATTTTGTTAAAAGAAAGTCTACATAGTTAACTACCAGGTTACTAGCTAAAAATAGTAAATACTTATAAACATTAGTCATTAACTAAATAATAACTATGATAAGTAAAGTAGAATGACCTAGTTTCTAAGAATTAGCAGAGATTTTTGGAGTAGATAAGTTAGTAATCACATATTCAAACAATAACTACCTTGAGCAATGTGTTGTACTAAGCATTGATATAAAATGCAAATTTTGATTCCTCTGAATAATTCTTTGACTTTTAAATTTATTTGAAAACTTCTTAGTCATAGCATTTAAAAAAATTCTTTATTATTTAAGAAGTGTTAAATGGAACAGCATAGTTATAGAGCTGGGAAGAATATTTGAACAATGATAGAAAAATAGACGTTTTTTGTACTGACTTGCATTTCAATGTATGTGTAATTTATACATTAAGGTAGATTAGCTCATAGTTTTGGAGGTGACACAGTCTCAGATGATATGCTGTCTTATGTTTCTAATTTAAGTTAAAGAGGAGTTAAAGGTAAGTGAAGGTAAGTGCAGATATACAGCATAAGTGATGTACTTTAAACCCAGGAAAAGCAACTAATTTATAATAAAAATTTGGAGAAATTTTAGCTAGCTTTATAGTTTTTCTCATTTAATGCTTAAAAGTGCTGTCTTACAAAATTATTCTTTACCATGCATTTAAATATTTCATTTGATGATTATGCAATTTTATTTTCCTATTTTCTTTATTAATTTTCATTCTTTAATGTAATTTAGCCCTCATATATTATAATCATTTGGTTCTCTGTTCTACATAAAGAAAGAAGTTAAATGTATAAATGGAACTACCTTGTGAATTGGCAATATCTATTGAAGCACAGCTGTCTACTTGAGATGCTAGGCAATTCAAAATATTTTAGTCATATTTCTTTCTAATGCTCCCTTACCCTTTCTGTTGTCTATTTAGTCTCTTTTCTTAACAATCCTGTGAAACTTCAGGATCTTACTTTAATGTTGCTTACAGTTTTCATGCTTTGGAAAGTGCTATACTTCCTTGTTTTTTACAATATGATATTAAGTATAAAACAGTGATTGTCTTCACTTTTGCTTTGCACTGCACCTTCAGCAAAATAAAATCCCTTGATGGATGCTATTGCTTTCATGGTTATTGAGATCAGGCACCAATCACAGCTCTGTTATTGACCTTATGATGGGATTGTAGTTTGGAATGATTTAATATTACAGTTATTGATGAATTGCCTATAGGCTTCTTTATATAGATCCTACTTTTGGAATTTGGAAACATCAACATATTCTCTCTCTTTATATACTTAGAATCTCACTGACACTCATATTCTAGTACATATTTGAATGAAGGGATACATTATATATCAATATGTGCAAGAATTTTATTTTGTGATGAATAAGGAAATGCTGACAGCAAGATTGTGCTTTTTGTCTAATATAGGTACAGACTTTTATTCTTACACTTTTCTTACCCTATTATCCCTACCATCATTCCTTAGACTTCAAGAGCAAGAGTGACCCAGGTGGCCAGGGTGGAGACTGAGGATACTGGATCCTGTGTCTTTGGGGAGGATTATGAAAAGTTATGGTGTCTGGTTAGATCTGAATGTCTTAGGAGAAGAGCTTCCTTTATCCAGTTGTGACTTTGAAGCTCCTTTTTCCTTTTTCCCTTGAAAACCACCTGCTTATTTTACTTAGTCACTTCCAGTCATGAGATGTGATTTTTCCTAGGCCGCTGTTGAATTTAGTATAACATTTCTTTCTTACCTTTTTAAAAATAGGAATATAGTAAGTCCTCACTTAACATCATCAATAGATTCTTCAAGCAAAACTGTATTACAAAGCCAATTTTTTTTTTGTTCTCTTCGTTTTGACGAAACAATATTATTTGGGATTTGCTGTATGTTGTTTTGCTTAAAGTGGCAGTTTCCAAGAACCTATCGGCAACGTTAAGTGAGAACTTACTGTATAAATATTTTGAAGTATTTCAGGGTGTTTTAGTTAGAAAATTGTATGAAAGTCTTCATATCCCTTTCCTCTTATTTCTTTTTAAAAATTTAGAATAGAATTACATTATGATGAAATGATGATCAGATACATCATTGGTCTATGGTAGGTGATAGGTAGGCAAAACAGGAGGTAGTGTAAGGGGTGAGGAAGACAGGCAAAGGAAAGGTGTGGAGGACAGATTGGTGCACAGTAGGTAAAGCTGGAAATGCATTCAAAGTAAAAACTTCATCAAAAGTTGACAGTGGGAGAAGAATTTCAAACCCTAGGATTTAGCAGGGCATTTCTAATAAAGACTTAATGTATACTAAACAACTATTTTATCTTGACTTAGTGATTAAGATGACTAACATTGTGTCTGTTTTAAGGGCAAATAATCCAAACAAAAATGCTGCTTTGTGAACTTCAAATATTTGACACATGTAATGTTTCATTTAAAATAGAACAGATTTTTATTTTGATTAAATAAAAATGGATTTGTGGTAATTCAGTATATTTAAAATAATTTTAAACTTTCAATTATGGACAATTTTAAACATAGACATAGAATAATCTAATGAATTATCATGTACCATCAACTTAGACAGTTATAAATCTTTGGCCAATCTTTCACTTACACCATTGCCCATTCCCCTTCCTTCTCCTTCATTAACTTGAAACTAATCATAGGCATCATTTCAATTTTAAAATGAAATATAACTATTTGAGATCATAAGCTTTGCATTTCCACACACACATGTAAAGTTCATTAGTTTCTTTTCTTGATGGTAATGTCATTTCCATAGTGAAGTATATGAACATTATCCTTTAATGACTATGAATCTTAGGAAATTTACCCTTTGTAATTCGCATAAACTATCTGGGGAATACAAGGAAAGGTTAAATATCTGGAAATAAATGTGTTCAATTGCAACTAATTAGTTTATTATGGTGGTAATAGAATAGTTGACTTATTTTGCAATTCTAAAAAAACACAAAGTAAATTTAAAATATGTATCTGAGTTAAACTAGATATCACCTGAGTACTGTGATTTTTTTTTTTAGCTATAATCCATATGATATATTCTGCAGTAAAATTATATTTCATGTACTTTTTCATTTTGTATTGTCCTTTTACTTTGGTTGTTCTAGTTGATGTGCAAAGAACTAGTTAACTACTCTTTATTTGTTCATGGTGCAGACAAACTGAAAGACTTCAATACAGTCGAAATCGTCTTTTTCACATTTGCCTGCCTTTATGAAAACTGTCATTCACTCAGAATACTTAAAATTTGAATATGTGCTACGAAACCTCTTCTTTGATATTTTCGAATTCTCATCTATATTTCCTAATGAATATTTTACCTACTGTCTGGGTAACATAGTGTGGGATAAAATGTTTGTTATTCTACAAATGTTTTATTTCTCTTCTTTGTAAGTGAATGACAGTTTTTATTATGACTTAGATAAGGTTTAATTAATCACTCATTATATATTTAATTTTGGAAAATAATTGCATCTAACCCTACCATATGTTTGTTTGTTTGTTTTGCTTTAGATAGTAAATAAAAATATGGCAAACATGTTAAGTCAATTTGTGTTTATATACGTATATAGTTTATTTTGCTTTAAGTTTTGAATATAATATCTATAATAATTGCTCAGTACTGGATTCTTTAGCTGATCTGTTACACCTAGGGTTGTTTTTGCCTTAATTTTATTTCTGAGAATGTGCAGGTTATAAGAATCTGTCGTTAAGTTAGCTTGGCAGTCTTCTGTGAATTGTCTCCTTTCTGTTTTGGGCTTTTTATATTGTAAAATTGTTGCCAAAAGTTATTTTTTCCTTTCTTCCATATTCCTTTTAGATGATGAAGCATATATTAGTTAAAGTTGAGCTGCTATTGGTGATTTTTGTGTCTGAATAATTTTTTATACACCCGTCATGAGATTTTACTTATAAATGTACTGCTAGTAAAACACATTTTGTAGCTCCTTCATAAACAAAATTTTTTTCATGTAATCGCTGAGAAATTCCTCCTTTCACATTTTTCTGTTTTCACACAGGTCCTCATGCTGATACTGCCAGTGGATGCCAGAATTTGCAGTGTGGTTTTCGAGCCTGCTGCCGCTCTGGCGAATGACCCTTGACTTCTGACCTTTGTCTACTTCATATAGCTGAGCAGGCTTCCTTTCATGCACTTTACTTATAGCACATTTCTTGTGTTAACCATCCCTTTTTGACGTGACTTCTTTTGGCCCATTTCTTACAACTTCAGAAATCCTAATTTACCAGTGAACTGTACAGTGTTGTTTCTCTTTCAAATTATATTTTTGTTTTAGGGATTAGGCTTTTTCATGAGGGTGAAAACAGTCTTATCAGATCACTTTTAAAATGCTTTGAAAAGAATGTTGTTAATGCCGTGACATTTAAAGTATTTTATAGATTATTCTGAGTTTTAAAATCAACAGGGATTATTGGTTCTCTTTACATACAAACACTGTACCTGTACCAAGCTTTGCAGGTCTTTTCAGACATGCATTTCTGAACATTTATTTTCAAAGACTGTACATTTTGGAAACTCATCTCTTTTCCATAATGTTTCCTTTATTTGAATAATTACAAGAGGGCCAATTCAAACAAACCCATATATAATATTCTTTAATATTGTAGAATAAATTGGTTTCTTGGTGTCAGCTCAATGAGCTAGCAAAGCACCAATCTTCATCTTTGCTTTCTTCCAAGACCTCGGTTCTCACCATTGTCCCTAAGTTGTCAAATTTGGGAGGGATTTTTACAAATTCCCACAATCATTGAAGAAATGTATAAATAAAACTTACTTTGAGGACTTTACCAAGTGATATCTGTTGTGTTGTGATTTTATTATAAATCTCAATCAGGTTTACTTCAGTGTAAGATAGGACTAAGTATTTTATCTTTTAAGCATCCTGAAATTATAGCCCTGGCATGACAGTTTTAGACAGGTACTGTATTTTGTTGAATTGAATATCTTAAAAATTAGTTATTGAATAGTCGGAATTTGAATTTTAAGTTTATATTGCTTTGTGAAAAAGAAAGGCACATAAATATTGGGTTAACTGTACGTCAAGCTATGTGAAATTTTATGTCATGAAGAAGAAAATGGCAGTGTGCCTCCAGTTTTTACAAATACAGGCATACTTTGTTTTATTATGCTTCATTTCATTGCATGTCACAGATACTGCATTTTTTTTTTAAAAGTTGAAAATTTGTGGTAACTGTAGAGCAAGTCTGTTGGCACCATCTTTTCAACAGCATGTACTCACTTTGTGTCTCTGTTGCATTAGGATAATTCTTGAAATATTTCAGACTTTTTATTATAATTGTTATGGTGATCTGTGATCTATGATGTTACTATTGTGCTTGTCTTGGAATGCCTTGAGCCATGCCCAAATAAGACAGAGAACTTAACTGATAAATGTTATACATGTTCTAACTATTAACACTGACTGGCTGTTCCCCCGTCTCTCTCCCTCTCCTTGGACCTCCTTATTCCCTGAGACACAGTATTGAAATTAGGCTCCACGTAATAACTCTGCAACGGCCTCTAAGTGTTCAAGTGAAAGAAAGAGTTGTATATCTCTCACTTTAAAACAAAAGCCAGAAATGATTAAGCTTAGTGAGGAAGGCATGTCGAAAGCTGAGAAAAACTGAAAGGTAGACCTCTTGTACCAAACAGCCAAGTTGTAAATGCAAAGCAAAATTAAAAAGTGCTACTCCACTAAACACACAAATTATAAGAAAGTAGAACAGCCTTATTGCTGATACAGAGAAAGTTTTAGTGGTCTGCATAGATCAAACCAGCCACAAAATTTCTCTAAGCCAAAGCATAATCCAGAGCAAAAAGACAAGAGAGATGGGGAAGCTGCAGGAAAAAAGTGAAGCTAGCAGAGGTTCATGAGGTTTAAGGAAAGAAGACATCTCTGTTGACATAAAAGTGCAAGATGAAGCAGCAAATTATCCAGAAGATCTGGCTAAGGTCATTGATGAAGGTGCCTATACAAAACAACAGATTTTTAGTGTAGGTGAAACAACCTATTGGAAGAAGATACGATGTTGGACTTTCACAACTAGAGAGGAGAAATTGATGCCTGGCTTCAAAGCTTGAAAGGACAGGCTGAATCTTCAGGGGCTAATACAGCTGGTGACTTAAAGTTGAAGCCAGTGCTCATTGACCATTCTGAAAAACCTAGGACCCTTAAGAATTATGCTAAAGCTACTCTGCCTGTGTATTATAAATGGAACAACAAAGTCTTGATGACAGCACATCTGTTTACATCATGGTTTACTGGATATTTTAGACCTGTTGACCTGCTCAAAAAAAGATTCCTTTCAAAATATTATTGTTTATTGATGATGTCTCTGGTTACCCAAGAGCTCTGATGGAGATATACAAGGGGAATAATATAGTTTCCTTGCCTGCTTCACAACATCTGTTTTGTAGTCCATGGATCAAGGTGGAATTTTAACTTTCAAGTCTTTAGTATTTAAGAAATAGTATTTAAGGTAATAGCTGCCATAGATAGTGTTTCCTCTGATAAAACTAGGCAAAGTAAGTTGAAAAGATTCTGGGAAGGATTCATCTAGAAGGATTCATCTTAGATGCCATTAAGAATTTTTGTGATTTATAGGAGGTCAGAATATCATCAGTATTAATAAGAGTTTGGAAGAAGTTGATTTCCAGTTCTTATGAATGACTTTGAAGGGCTCAAGACTCCCATGAAGGAACTAACTGCAGGCTTGGTGGAATAAGAATGTGGAGCCTGAAGGTGTGTCTGAGTTGCTGCGATCTCATGATGAAACTTGAGATATTTATTGAGATAGCACCTACTCCTGGTTAAGATGCTGTGAACATTGTTCAAAGCAAAGGATTATTACAACGTTATGCAAACTTAGCTGATAAAACCACAGCAGCATTTGAGAGGGTTGACTCCAATTTTTAACAAAGTTTTGTGGGTAAGATGTTATCAAACATTGCATGCCGCAGAGAAATTTCTTAGGAAAGGAAGAGTCCAACAGTCTTCATTGTCTTATTTTAAGAAATTGCCATAGCCATTCCAAGATTCAGCAGTCACTACCCTGATTAGTTGGCAGCCATCAGTATTGTGGCAAGACCCTCGACCAGCAAAAAGGTTGCAACTTGCTGAAGGCCCAAATTATTGTTAGCATTTTTTAAGCAATAAGCATTTTAAAATTAAGTTTAAATTAAGTTTTTAGACATAACGCTGTTACACACGAAATAGACTACAATATAGAACAAGAGTAACTTTTATATGCATTAGGAAACCAAAAAATTTGTCTGACTTGCTTTATTACAATATAAACTTTATTGTGGTGGTCTGGAACCAAGTGCGCAGTATCTCTGAGGTATGCCTGTATATGCAAAGCTGTGGAAGAGGACTGATCTTGGAATCTGGTTCTTTGTGGCTCGGTTCATCTGTCCATCCCTCCTTCCCTCCCTCCCTCCCTTTTTTCGAGGGGAGGACTAGGAGAAAAACTACAGGTAGACATACTTCAAGAGAAAACTTAGCTTTAGACAGTTTTGTCTAATAAGGAAGGAACATTTGATGCAATATATGTAAGCAGAACTCACTACTACTTTTTAATTCAACTAACAAATTAAATATCACATGAGAAGATGAACTTTAAAGGGAGGCTTTCTGGCTGGGCGTGGTGGCTCACACCTGTAATCCCAGCACTTGGGGAGGCTGAGGTGAGAGGGTTGCCTGCCCCCGGGGGTTCGAGACCAACCTGGGCAACTTGGCGAGACCTTGTCTCTACAATAAATCAAAAAATTAGCTGGGCATGGTGGTGTGTGCCTGTAGTTCCAGCTATTTGGAAGGTTGAGACGGAAGGATCTCCTGAGCCCAGCAGGTTGAGTCTGCGTTGAGCCTGCCACTGCACTCCAGCTTGGGTGACAGTGAGATTCTGCCTCAAAAACAAAAAACAAGGAAGGCTTTCTATGATACTCGCTGAAGTTTTACCTTTCTCTAAGAATTCTCTCCTTTTGATGCCATTGCTGTTAATATTTACAAAACGAGATGGAAGCCTACAGGCTTCTTGCATGTAGAGTAGGGCGGACTATGTTACCTTTTGAGTTTGTTAGCTCTTAAGCTTAATTTGTCATGTCTTTTGTGGCACCACTACACCCAACCTCCTGTAAAAGTCTGATTTAAGCACAAAGGAAGAAAACAACCTTGATTCTCCTAGATAACTTGAAATCTGAGTTTAGTGAGTGTTTACAGGGTCAGAAGTTTTATGTTCTAAGGTTCACTGTTTTGTAGTTACTGTATTTTTATTTCCCTAAGTGTTCAATAAAATTTATTTGAAAAGTTTACATCAGGGACTATTTCGAGAAAATCTACTACAAGAAGTCTTATGGAGTGAGTCCCAGTCTACTCCATACTTTATTTTATCTTTAGTCTACTCCATACTTTATTTTATCTTTATTCATATGGACTGTATAGTAAAATTGCTCATTCATAACAATGGCCCTGAGTCATCAAGGCAGGATTAAAGTGTATCTTCTAATCAGAAAACAACATATTTAGGAGGAATTTTTTTTACTAATCCTTATGGGAAAAGATCATGATTAAATGATGTTTCAGAACTTGACTTAAATGTCATCACTTATACATTATTTTGAGCAGCTAATTTCCCCAGAGGTTCCAAGTAATTGAGGTGCCACTTTTTTGCTTTGTCTCATGCTGCTTGATATTAACAAATCATTAAATAAGGACTTGGCAATCTTGAATCAAACCGACTAAAATATGTCAGCACATTGTTACGTCAGATCTTATTATTTTGAATGCCACTGCTAAGTGGCAGAACTAGGATTTCTCCAGAATTCATGCTCTTAACCACTATGCTAGTCAGTCTTTAAACTATTACATTGGTAGATGTTATAGGTCAGTCACAAAGCTCTTTCTTGAGGAGTTCATAGTAGAGGTATCAGAGGCATGTAAACACATAATTGTGATATAATTTGATAGGGGATGCATAAGGAAATCAAGCAGATGTGAGGATATATGTTCCTTAACTCAGTCCCTTCTGTGTTTATGATTTTTCTTTTCTTTTTTTTTTTTTTTTTTTGAGTTGGAGTCTCTGTTGCCCAGGTTGGAGTGCAGTGGCATGCTCATGGCCACCACAGCCTCGACCTGCTGGGCTCAGGCAGTCCTTCCACCTCAGCCTTCCAAATAGCTGGAACTACAGGCAGTGAGAACTCTATCGGTGGTTCTCAGCTGGAGGCCATTTGTCTCTTAGAGGACATTCAGCAATGTCAGGAGACATTTTTAGTTGTCACAGTTTGGCAAATGGGAGGGATGCAACTAACATCTAGTAGGTAGAGGTAGGATGCTGGTAAACACCGCACAGTACACAGGGCAGCCCTCTACAACAAATAATTACTTGGCCTAAATGTCAATAGTGCTGCTGTTGAGAAGCCCTACCCTACATATTTTACCCTCCCTGCCACTACCACCTGGGTGTTGGCTGTTAAAAGCTGGCATTTGCTCAGATTGGGGGCTGCTCTGTGAGAGGAGCACCGTTTGTGCAGCTGCCTAGTGCTTCTTCCTGCTTTACGTACTTCTATTTTGTGTGCATCTTTCCAGATCAGCACACACATTTAATCCTTTTTAATAGTTTAGTATAATAGTATGTGAATGTGTGTCTTAGTTTGGACTGCTATATAACATTACTGGTTGGTTTAAACAAGAGATGTGTATTTCTCACAGTTCTGGAGCTGGAAAGTCCAAGATCAAGTACAAGATCTGTTGGAAGCCAGGAGTTCCAGGGTCTGGTGAGGGCAATTTTTCTGGCTTGC